CCCCCCCCGCCGCCGCCACGGCGCCCCCTCCCCACCCTACGCGCCCGTCCCATGCCGTGGCTGTCAGCAAGCGCGCGGTCTCCAAGCACAGAGCAGCGTCGTCGTCGTCGCCGCCTCCGAAGCTTCCTGCCAAGTCCCCCCCCTCCGCCGCCGTCCCTGACGCCATCCGGCCACCGCTGAGCAAGAACTTGGACACCGCCCACGAGACCACGGCCGCCTTGGAATCGCAGGACAGGGACGCCGCGTGCCCTTGAGAGAGACGGCAGCTCTCGGCCGCGAAGAGTCCCGCACAAGCCCTCGCCAGCGCCAAGTCGAAGGAACCTCCCCCGACAACACTATTGTCGCCCCCCCGCCGCCGCCCCGCCGACCTGACCAGCGCCACCACGGCCACCTCCGTCTCCGCGTGCGTGGCGACGAAAATGTCGCTTCCGAGGGACCCCGGCGAGGGAGACACGTGCACCTTGCAAGACGCATCGGCGCAGTCGCGGAGCCAGGCCAGGCTCGCCGTCCCCTGCGCCCTCCTCCACCCGAGAGCTGCGGCCGCGGAGCCCGCCCCCCCCGCCGCTTCTTCGCACAAGGCTCCCCTTATCCTCGCCGGCATGAGCCGCATGCCCTCTTCTTCGGACGGCATGAGGGGCGTCGCCGCTAGGAACCCCGAGAGCACGGAGGCCGCCAGGGCCACCGTCGCCGCCGCTTGGACAGTCCCGCCGCCGCTACCGCCGGTCTTCGACGCCAGGACCGCGCTCCCGGACTTGGCCGCCGCCGCCGCCCACCTGTTTCTCAGGGTCAGGATTCCCGGGCGGACCCGTTCCCAAGCTTCTTGACTCCCCCCACCGGCGGTACCGCGGGGGTCAGAACCACATAGCAGCGCCGCTCTCACGCACGTCGACGCGACCCCTCGGAGCGCCGCCGCGGTGGCCGAGGACAGCGCCGGCGCCTCTGGGCCAGACAACTCCGGAGACCGGCCTATGTGTTCCCAGAGACGCCGCTCGATTGCGAAGACGGGACCGGCCAAAACCTCCCCCAGTTTCGCCGCCACAGCCGGTCGTACTAGCCAACGGGCGTGTTGGGGGGGCGCGTCTACGAGTGTGCGTGGGGAGGGGTGTGTGACGGAAAGGCGCCCGAGGACGGTTTGCCGCTCTCGACCGGCGTCATCGGCGGCGCCGTCGGCCTCTGGGATAGGTCGGACGGTGTAGTACCCCTCGCCGCCACCTGAGAAAGAACGGACGGACAGACGGCGTCAAAACAAGAGGGAGATTTTCATTCGCGGGAGAAAACATCATGACGGGGCACTCTCAAACTTTGGTTATTCGGCGTTGGGGAGCCGAGCTTAGCAAACACAGGCAAGCGCCACGGGCAATCAACCGCCGCCGTTTTGAAGGCTGGAGGGAAGAAGTTCTTCTGCCGAAAGCAGCGCTTCACAACCGCCAACCCCGCAGACCCATCACGGAGGAACGAAAACAGTACTGCAGTGGACTTGCTTCTTGTATTTCTCCAACTTTGCCCCCAGCGGTACTTGTCTTCTTTACAAGCCTGAGAGTAACGGTTAAGGCATTGAGATCATTCCCTTTTACTGTGTTTACTTGGTCGCTCTGGTGCATCAGTTGGTAACCTTAACCTCGCACCCTTCCGACTGACTCCAGACATGAGGACATGCTTGCCAAGACAGATATGCACAACCACACCTTCAACGAATCCACTCGTGCCCATCACACATGCCCGAGTACTTTTCCACGCAAACACGATGTTCTGCTTGACGCACAGCACCCATATCACCATCCATCCTGCGGAGGAACAACAGTCAGTGTCACTAGCCTGGGTCCACGTGGGCGGCCACTATGGTCACCGCTTGCCCATCGCTTGTGTAGAGCGTCTTTGCCCCGGGCACCAGGTCAGCGGCGGAAGGCACCGGAGCTTTGTAGGTTCCGCAGCGGACGGCCATAAGCCTGCAGCAAACAAAGGAGGGTCAGAGGGGATGTCAAGAACCGTTGGACTTTTTCTCGACGGACACGATGCGAGGTCAAAACGTGCCACTCATCCGGCGACGGTTACACATCGATGTTGTTTCGTTGCGGGACACAAAAGCCGAGAATAATCGCTCACGCATAAGGGAATGTGTTGCCCTGGAGCTTGAAGTGTTCATGCTGCAGTACGGAATTCGGTTCCTACTCGCCATAATAAAAAATGACCGTGTACCTCAGGAATGGCCGCGAACCTCAACAATGGCCGCGTACCCTCAAACCGACCGCTCAAGCGAAACAAGACGCGCCTCGCCAGACCACACACGATGCACCTGTTTACTTCGTCCCCAAGCCCGAGGCCGCGAGCCAAAGCCTCCCCAACCACCGCCACGACTAGACCGGACGAAACCGTCGCCGAGCAAGCCGTCCGCCAAGCCGCTGCCACGGCTTCGTCGCCGCCGCCGCCCCCCGCGAGGGCCGCGGCATCTTGAGCGGCGAGGGCGAGGCAAGAGGAGAGGGCCGACAGGAGGACGGCGTGGAGGCGTTCGTCTTTAGTGTCGGTCGCCGCGGACTCGAAAGCTACTCGCCACAGGCCCTGAGGAAGCAACAAGCTGAACGGCTGCTGCGAAGCTACGCCATAGCCGTCTGCTGCTGCTGCTGCTGCTGCTGCTGCTGCTGCTGCTGCTGTACCGGCCTCCGCTTCGAAGGCGCCTTGTGACTGCTCGCCGAGATGCGCAAGCGCCGCATCCAAGACCTCCGCTGACGCAACAGCGGCCACTGCCTCTGGGTCGTCGCCATCCGCCGCCATTGAACCGCCGCGGAACCTCTGAAGACCTACCCCGAAATCTTCCACCGAGTCAACTCCTGCGGCGGCCCGCGCCATTCCGCCGCTTGCCGAGATCTTGTCCTCCGCGGGCGCGACCAGCAGGCACGAGGGAAGGTCTACGCTAACCTCCAATACCCCGCCGCGGCCTTCTTCGCCCTTCAGCAGCCTCACGGCCCTGCTGACCATCACCCCGGCAGCAAAGATCTCGTGCAGCGCCTCTCCCGCGACTCCAACGCTTCCCCCTTCAGCCTCCGCGCTCACGACTCCCTCCACCAGGAGCGACAGCCTCGCCTTAGCGTCCGGAAGCCGAGCCAGCACCAGCGACACGCACTCCCAACGCCGGGCCCACCGGCTCCCGACGCACGCCCGCGCCAAGTCCGCGGCGGTGGTAGCCAAGGGGGCCCCCGTGGATCGCGCCTCCGCCGCCAAAGCTTCCAGCCGGCGTTGTCGCCACACGGAGGGGCGGGTGAGCCCTAACCGCCAGAGCATGGGCGCATCGTCCGGCGGCAGCAGGGTTGCCCCGCGCCGCAGCAACGCGCTCCGGAGGTCGAGGAGCGCGGAGGTCAGAGTCGCCGCGCGCTCCACCCCCCCCCTTCCAGCCAGTAGCAGCGGCGGGGCCCCCTGGTCCGACGCCCCGTCGTCGTGAACGCCGTCGCCTTCCATCGCGCGCCGAGCTTCTTCCACGGCTCCGCCTAAGAATTCTTGCCAGATGCCGTCGCACCACTGGGGAGGCGGCGTTTCGGCCACAGCCGCCGCCGCCGCCGCCGCCGCCGCCCGGCGGGGGCCACGGAGAACAAGATCTTGGAGGGTGGGAGCGGCGACGTCGCGCCACAGGCGGTCCGCCGCCCGCCCTTCCCCGATCGCCGAGAAAGCGCCGAGGAGGAGAGACAGCCCGCTCTTGCGAACGGCAGCGAGGGCATCGTCGTCATTGCCGACACCTCCCCTGCTACTGTCCGCCGGCCCCCCGCTTTCTCCCGTGCCTAGCACTCCGAGAAGGCCTTCCAGCACCGCCATGGACAGCAGCGTTGGCCGGATAGCAGCATCAGCAGCCTCTGCCGTCCCCGCGCTATTGAACGTCGAAGCAGAGAGGCTGGCTGCGGTCGCGACCTTCACAACCTCCGAGACAGTGACAGCCTTCACAAAGGGGGCGGCCGTGCGCTCTCGCCCGCCATCCGTTGCCCCGAGGCAGGCTTGCAAGAAGGCTGTGAGGTCCTGCGTGCTGCTCTTTGGACGGAGTCTTTCCGATGATGATGATGACGGCGGGGCTGCCGCTGGCTCGGTTCCGGGCAACGAGATTCCGCATGCCTGAGCAGAGAGGCGGCCGAAGCAGTGCGGAAGCCGGGAGCGCTGGTTTGACATCTGAAAACAGGATCAGCCAACCACGCATTTTGGCTGTTTGACACGGTGCCCGTTGAAACAAAATAGCAGATACAAACGCGGTTTGGCACAGAGGGAAAAATACCAATGAATAGGCCTGTTCACGATCAACGCGTCGGCCACAAAGAACTCCGCTGCAAAAAACAAACGAGGGGAGGGCGCACACAGACCGACGGGTCTCGGAAAAGGCAACAACAACAACAACTTTGTGCAGAGCAGCACGTGTGCCCTACACCGACCGCACTCACCCTCAGCAACGCCTCGTCCACCTCCGGAAACACCCTCGCCATGCTCGCAGGGGCCAAGCGTAGAACCATCGTCGTCGTTCGCAGCCACACCGCCTCGGGCTCGGCGAGGGCACGCTTCAGCAGCAGACGGAAGTCGTCCGACTGCCTTGGGCCTGGAGTACAGCAGTAGAGAGGAATGGCGTCACGTCTCTGAGACGGCGTATTGGCTTCAAGATGTGAACACTTACATGCTACTCGTTGTACTTGTGATTAAGCGAAATTAGCAAGGTTTCTCGACTACCTCCAAGATGAAAATGTGACAAAGGGTTCACGGGGTGTCCTCCACCTTTCGTACTGCGGTGCTTGCCTTCACATGGTGACGGGAGAAAATAGTTTCAACAGTTACTTCCCTCCTTTCGTGTTTACTCACGACAAAACGAGTTCCATGCATACAATAGATGCGATATTTTCTCTCCAGAGAGATTCGAACCCGCAACCTAGAGAGTCAGAACGTAACGAGGATATTAACTGAGCCACCGGGCCGACTGCAGTCGTACATAGGAGGGAGATCGTGGACCACCCAAGCCGAAAGTATGGACCAGCCAACACACGATGGATACAACTACCGCGCTACGCACAAGCCGACAAATACATGAAACGTGTCTCTCATCTCACTCACCGTCTTCTGCGAGAAGAAAGGCTTTCGTGAGAGACTCGAGGGCCATCGTCGCCTCCCCCGTCGCTTCCATCGACCGCCTGCCGCCCGCCGAGGCCACAAACCTCGGGACCAGAAAATTCTCGTAAAACTCTCTAGCCGAGTCTGGAGGAACCACGCTGGGCTTGGAGTCGCCATTGCCGCTGTCATCGGAGAGGGCGGCGTCCCCCATGCAGAAAATGCCGCCCATGCCAAGGGCACCCGCCATGTTCGACATGAAGGTCGTCAGAGGGGCGTCAACCGAAGATATCGCCTGCGGTCGTAACATATGTAGCAAGCGTGCACGTTGGTGGAACGTTTTGGGGGGGGTGTACTCGTGTAGACGCATGCCGTAGCCGTTAGACCATAGGCCTCACATCTCTACAATGCCGGGACGGAGCGATATGCCGGGTTTTTCACGTTTGCGGGATCCCGCATCAGAATTGGAGGGACTCCGCACTCTGGTGTAGGAACATGCGAGATGTTTTCAGGACCCGTGCGAGTGTTGGGTGTGGCCTGACCAGCGTTTCAACGCTGGATGCTGCCGCTCAATCGCTCGTGATGTAAATACAAGCAATCCTATAAGGTCTTCTCCCAGCCAGCGACAACTCACTGCTTACACGAGAAAAAAACCTCACCGCGCCCGCGTCATCATCGGTTACCCCGCTGCTCGGGCTAACGTAGCCGATAGCCCCGACGCAGTGGTGAAACAGAGTCCGACACAATTCCCGCAATCCGGTACCGTGCGGCCCTCTGTCAGTCGCAAGCGGCTGCGATGGACTCTGGACGGTTTCTTCGGCGACGGTAGCGGCACCAGGACTGCCCCACGCCCCTCGGCTCTTCCGCTCGTTTATAGCTGTCATGGCACGCACGAGCGTCTTGCCTATCCACGCAGCGCCTCCCCTTGACCTCAAGACACGCGATAGCCGAGATAGGGTTTGAAAGTGGGGTCCGCGAGACAGAACAATAGGAGAAACAAGTCACCAGCAGTCATGGAGGCCACAGTCTTCGGTCGGCCCTCTCATCGAGAACGATTAAGCTGGGCACCCGTAGGAGGGATCAACCGAAGATAGGGTGACCTCGAAAATCGATATTGAAGTTACGCTAAAGTACAAAAAAAGTTGGCACACCTTCGCCCTTGTGTTTCGAAAAAAAGATGCCGATTGAGCCGGATGACTCGTACAGTCAAGATTTGAGGAGTGGGCAATCGATACGTTAAAACAGTTCGACAAATATCTCGCTTTCAGAGTGCCAACATTAACAAAAATAATACACAAGAGCCCTATTGTTGCATAGACACTAGAGTAGTCGACACAGGTCAGAGTGCAACCCTTCACCACAACACTCCGTGACGTAAGGATCACAGATTCTTCTCCAACTCTCCCCCGCTGCACTCACAGGACGACAGGACGGACATAAACCCTCCCTCACCTCTGATCCAGACCTTCCTCAAACTCCCGCAGCAGAGCTCCCCACACCGCCGCAGACCCGCTCGTCGTGCCCACCACCCCAGCCCCCTTCTCTCCCCCCAGGTGCAGCTGCCCTAGCGCGCGGCCAAACGCTTCGCTGATGGTCTGTGACCTCCTCCCCACCGTTCGGAGACCGTTGCCCAGACCAGTCGCGCCTGTCTCTTCTTCGAGGACAAAGACACCAACCGCCTTGGCAAGATTAGCCGTGGCCGCTGCAACGCTCAGTGTGGCCGAACTTCGTTCGGTGTCCACCCCCCGACCCACCCCGGGTATATCACCGCTTGTGCTCGCCGCCGCAGTGTCGCCCGCTTCCCCAAGCCCTTGCGACGCCGGGGGAAGCTTGAGCAGCAAGAAAGTCACGCACTCAACGTGCGCGGACACGACGTCGGCGAGCCAGCCGCCGCCACCGCCTCCGGTGCGATCACCGGCCGCGTCTCGGCTCGATGACTTGGCTATCGTGACCCACAGGTTCTCCACCAAGGCTACGCAGAACGGAGGGCCGGCCCGGCCGTCTGCCGGCGAGAGCAGCGCGTCCGCCGGCAGAGAGGCAAGCAGGGGCAGCAGGCACGGGTACGACGTGCCGGACGTGGCGAGGAAGGCGCCCTTGCGGAGCCGTGTAAGGAGGGTTGTGAGCACCGCCTGTTGGGGGCGGGAGAGGGGAGGGGGGATACTCTTGTGTGTTGCATGCCTCAGCGGGTAGACCATTGACCACGCGTCTTCGAGAGGACGGAGCATTGTTCCCACACGACCGATCACCGATGGCCACTTGTTCCTTGCTACTTTGCCAAAGGTGGCGCAAAACTATCTTGGGGGAGGAGGGGGGGGGGGGGGGGGGGGGTCC